GTGTAAATACTTACATTATGGACAATTTCAAGCTGCCAATCTGATATTATTGAGTGCAGAGTTAGAAAGAGAGAATAGACATAAGTAACTTCAAGGGCATAGTTATTAATGAAATCTTTTTTTAGTAAAATGTTAATAAAATTAGTAAAAATGTATTACAATTTAGGATGTAATGATCTGAAATATTTATTGCCTTTGTTTTTAATTAACTTAAATGAAAGTTCATATAATTTAATTTAAAATAAAGTCTATGTTTAACAGCTAGCTGGCAACAATTCTGAACTTTTATGAGCTGGTATAAATAAGCTGGCTTTAGGCCACCATTAAATTTTGGTACCACTCTCTCCCAGAGTTAAAACCTAGGTGATAGAAAAATATATCCAGATAAGTCATGGGGAACCCAAAAATATTGGACCTTGAACTCTGATACAATGGACATAGACTGAAAAGATTACAAAGCTTGCAGAAAAGTCCTGGATTCAGAATGGTGTCACAAACAATATGACGGTTGAACAAGAAAGCAGCAATGCTGGCAGAAGTAAATGGACTGGGGACAATTTTACTAATTGTAGGAAGCCTAGTTGTAGTATCCACAACTCTTATGTGCCTTGAGAGAGCAACAAGAAAATATTGAGAAAACTGATGAAACCAAAAATGTCTTGATTAGATACTATGACAAGGAACACACGTTTTATAGTGGGTGTCCACATAAGCCTTAAAAGGCTAAAGGAAAGACTAGATCAAAATTAATACCAGTGTTAGATGCTGAGCACATCAGTAGGACAAAGCCCTTCACAGTGGCAGCCAGCACGGTATGACAGTCTGTGGATTAGAGGCCCTACTTCACCACCTTTTTGAATATTTGGATGAATCTTGAAACACGGAAGGTAGAATAGAAATCCTATGACAGAGTAAAAGACAATATTGATAGAGAACTTAAATTTTGAGCTAATTGAAAGTTTTCCTTGATCAGTAATACTAATTTTCAAGTGTAAGATGTTTTTCTTCAATCACTGAGTTAGGGGCAGAAAGGCAAGAAGAACTCACAGAAAACAAAGTTACATTTTTGAGGTACATCTGAGTTCTAGTAGGTTAATATCAACTTACACTTGTAAGGAGAATGTTTCCTTAAGAAATAAAAAAAAATCTACAATCTTTTTATTTTTTTATGATCTGTTATTTAAAAGAATAATTTGTAAATTGTGTGTCATTCCCAAATACATTTCTAGCTAAGATTTTACATTAAGTTTCTTTCTCATGTTGCAAAAGCCTTCAGAAATCCCATGCTTATTCTTTCAGTCACCTCCAGAGCTGTGTATCTAAATCTGAGCTTCTAGTTCTCCTGACTTCTAGCCTTGATGTCACCATGTATTTCTTCCTTTCTGCAGACCCATATGCCCTAGTCAGTCAACAGGCCCTTTCAATGCTGCCTTCATAGGCTTCCTTACATCTCTTAATTCCTTCTGTCTTATTTTTTTCTTTAAAGATTTTATTTATTTATTTATTCATCAGAGACATAGGCAGAGGGAGAAGCAGGCTCCCTGCAAGGAGCCCGATGTGGGCCTTGATCCTAGGACTCCAGGATCGTGACCTGAGCTGAAGGCAGATGCTCAATCACTGAGCCACTCAGGTGCCCTTGATTCCTCTTGTCTTAACTAGAATCCAGGCTCCTTTCACCTCATGTTTAAGTAACTGTGGTAGTCTCCTAGCTGATCTCCCTACTTTCAGCCTCTGTTCTTCCTTCATCCTTCTAAAAAATAATGTTGGTTTTATTTCCTAGTAACCTCTGTTTAGTGTCCACACTCTGCTCTTAATCCACAGTGGCTCTCTATGTCGAGTCTAAATGCTCAGCTTGGCAGTCACACTCTTCCATCAGCCAGCTGGTTTCTAATAGAGCATTGTAATTCTTTCCTACTATAAACTGTTTTTACAGCAAGCAACTTGCTTGCTGTTCTACTCTCCAACTCCCCACTTGTCTGCTCACTTCTCTATCCTTTCCTGCCCTTGTCCTAAAATCCCTTCAACCCACTCAGGAAAAGCCTGTATTCTCTCAGCCAAAGCCTATTTCCTCCCCTAAACTATCTTGACCTCTCCATTTTGCAGGCACAAGTTCCAGCTCAGAATATCTGTAATTGTTACAATCTGTGCCATATAAGATATCATTGATTAGACATTTTCTTGGCCTGTTCATTATGTCTCACATATCAAACTAAAGCACTTAAAAACAAAGTTTAGATCTTCTCCCTTTATATTCTTGATAACATTTAATGTAATCTTGGGTATAAATTTTAAAAATTATTGGAAAAGCTTTTATTTATTTATATCCATTAAGGAAATCTTATTGCCTTGGCTAATTGCAATATACATTTGGGGAATCAAATTTTATCCCTTCAAGGATACTTAAGTAATTGAAAGTGGCCTTTTTTCCATCCAATCTAAACTGAAATGTTTACATGCAAATAACAATTTTCAAAAATAGAATCTACATGCATGTGCTATGGATTAGTATGATTCTGTTTTAGTCAATATGCTCGATTTTATCATAGGAAGATAAAATGACCCATCACCAACCTATCAATTATTCCTTCAGTTATTTTGCAATGTAGAATTGGGCATCAACTGGTTCATTCATTCATTTATTCAGCAAATGTAAATCAGACACCTGTTTTGTGTCAAAAATGAGTCCAGGACCTAGGTTTGTGGCAAAGTACATATGATCTCTTTTTTCAAAAGCTTAGAGACTTTCAAGAAGATGAACAATAATGAAAAACAAGTTAAAATACTATGGAGGAGTGAAGCAGTGTGGGCAGAAGAGCAAGTTCTGGAGTTGGGCTACTTGAGTTGACACCGGGCTGGCTCACAGCCTTCTACCTGCTGGATATTGGCAAGTTTCTTAACTTTATCAGCCTCACTTTCTTCATTTGTAAACTTGGGATAAAATTAGTTATCATGAAAATCAAATTAAAAAAATTTAATGGAAATTTCTAGAATTCAGAGGGCCATCTAAAGTACTGACAGTAAATATATATAGATAAATTTAGAATTTTATTATAATCCCAATCATTCACAGTGTAATGAAGGCGAGGTACAAGATGGAAGTGCAGGGGCAGAGAGTCTGGAATCAGGGAGGTTTTCCTTGGGAAGTGAGAAAAGAAACGGCCTAAAAGCTAATCTGTGGGATTAGAGGCTGAATTAATCCCGAGAGAAAAATAGAACTTTAGAAGAAATACAAGAGTTATGATCTAGAAGAAGAAGATAGAGGGTCAAGGGTACATAAGAGGAAGAACACTAACTTCTATTTCCTGACCTTCTGATAAGCTTGATAAGTAGCAGCTACCACTGGGGAAGGTCAGGAGAGAGCCTGGTTTTATTAAGGACAGCAGACAAAGAAGTGTTAAGGCCTTAAGTGGGTTTGTTTAAAGTGGAGCATATTTTACCTACAACAAAAGAAGAATTAATCTTTGAGTACAATATGTCATAGAGTGATGGAACAGGAAGTTGCTCAAGCTTCTGGCAAACAACTAACTAGACTAAGCATCATTTAAAAAATAAGGAAGTTACCCCGTTAGAGCAATAGGCAGCACGTTAGTCTCATAAACAAAAATAAATATATTGGATGGTTTTCATGTTGATACATCTTATGCTTTACGGGAGCATTGTTTTTCTCTTGGTTTGTGGCATTACAGATATTACAAATAACTATTCACTATGTTAAAGGAATTTTTGTTCTTGGCCTTTTTAAGCTTGTAGAGGGTTTCATAATAATGCATTAAGCTTTTAAAATAGAAGGTCTTGAACTGAGTTGGTATATACATATTTTAGTTCTTCTTGATTTATAACTGGTTATTGAACTAGATATAACTGTTATTACTTAGTGTATCTCCTATCTAGAGTGTGGATGTGACAATAGCTACGAGTGGCCAGCCATATCCTCATAGCTCTCCTCTACACACTGAAGCCTCCTTAATGAAATTTCTGCTACTCCATACCTGAGGCCCTTTAATGACCCTGGGAAGAATCAGCCCATGCAAGAGTCAAGCCAGAAATGCCCGAGAGTTAATGCTATTGAAGTAGCCCTCAGTCTTGGACAGTTGGGGATTTGGTAAAAAAGATATACTTTCTCTCCCCTCAGTTGGAATAAGTCTGAGATATGCTCCACATTATCACCTAGAAGTCTGGAGTGGAATTAAGTGTATCAGATCATGTCTGCTCCTGTCTGAATCAGGAATATTCCCCTGACATATCTCCCTTCTTTTTGTGTATCACCAAAATCTCTTTCTCTATTGGTTGGCTCCTATCAACTTATATGAGTGCTCCCATTTTTCCCATCTTAAAATCAAACCAGCAAAAGACAATTACCCCCATTTCAACCTCTAGCTACCCTCCCATTTTTCTGCTTATGTTTTCAGCAAAACTCAAAAGATCTCCTATTTGTATGCCAGTTTTTCTTTTTCATCAATCTTTCTTTTTCTGTGATTTTTTTTTAAAAAAGAAACACGTATAAAAACCATCAGCCTAAAAACTTTTAAATCAGATTTAAGAGCTCATGTAGGAGGGATCCCTGGGTGGCTCAGCGGTTTGGTGTCTGCCTTTGGCTCAGGGCGTGATCCTGGAGTCTCCCTGCGTGGAGCCTGCTTCTCCCTCTGCCTGTGTCTCTGCCTCCCTCTCTGTGTCTCTCATGAATAGATAAATGAAATCTTAAAAAAAGAAAAGATTTCACATAGGAAAATATTTCACCATATATGTTAATATCTTTTTCTATAAAGCACTGTGTTTCTACTAAATCATAAAATTCGATATGACTTTTAAAAAATGAAGAATAATACCAGGGATGGTTCTCACAGCAAAAAATTAAATTGCTTTAATTCTCCTGATCACTTTAGAACATATCTATAGTATCATCCAAATCTTGATTTAAAGTTTTTATTATTGTATTATGAAAAGAAATGATAGAAAGATGAAAAGAAAAATAAAACAAATTTGAAAATCATTATTTTTACCTTATCTTGCAGAGCCTAAAGTCCCAAAGGAGACCTGTAAAGTGAAATTTTATAAATTTCTTTAATCTACATGGGATGAAAAAGGATTCTGCCCAGACCCTTATTCAAAATTTTTTTAGGTTCAAGTTAGAGCACTGTAGTAGTTTCAAGATTTTATTTAATGTTTTTATTAGCTAAAATATGAGGCAATCATTTAAATGAAAATAGGAAGAATATATACTGTTATAGGAAGAGCTTCAGACTGGAAGGCTCCTTTCCAGATGTTAGATCTTGGGACCCAGTTATGTCAGTGCTCTGCTACTATAGTTTGGGAATAATAGCACTGAACCTAGATGGTTGTTGTGAGGATTCCTTTAGATAATGTCAGAGAGTTTTCTAACATAGAACTGTAGTACAACTAACTGTAATGTAATAGCTTAAACTTAGCCAAAAGTCAAATGCAGTTGACCCTTCAACAACATGTGTTTGAACTGCTTGGTCCACCTATATGTAGATTTTTTTTTCAATAAATATATTGGAAAGATTTTGAAGATTTTCTCTCATGATTTTCTTAATACCATTGTCTTTTCTGTAGTTTACTTTATTGCAAGAATATAGCATAAATACTTATACAAAATATGTGTTAATTGACTGCTCATATTATTGGCAAGGTTTCCAGTCAATGGTCAACTGTTAGTTGTTAAATTTGGGGAGAGTCAAAAGTTATACACAGATTTTCAACTATGCAGGGTTTGGCACCCGTACCACCATGTTGTATCAGGGGTCAACTGTAATTTTTTTTTTTTTTAAGATTTACTTCAGAGAGAGAAGGAAAGACAGAGAAAGAATGTGAGAAGGAGCAGAGAGAGGTGAAGAGGGAGAGAAGCAGACTCCTCGCTGCTCTATCAAGGGGGCTCTATCTCACAATCCTGAGTTCATGACTTGAATGGAAATTAAGAGGGGGATGCTTAATCTACTGAGCCACCCACACACCCCAAGGGTCCACTGTAAATAAAAACTATTATCTCTTTTGCTTTCCAGCAATAACTCAAAAAGTTGAGAACAGAGAAATACACAACTAAAATCCAGCCACACCACAGAAGATTAAAAAAAATTTTGAAGGCTCACAAGTATCTTTTTTATAGTAAAAGGTTTTAAAGCTAGGGACTTGTTGCATGAAAGTAACCACATCTACACATATACAATGAGATTAACCAAGATGTTCATGGGTTTTAGTTTAGTAAAAAAGAACAGGAGCCTGGGTCATTATCAAGCTGAGAAATCACATCTTACAAACTTAAAAAAAGAATGTAATAAAATGGTGTTACCTTTAGGGAATATTGCTCTAAGGGACTTGAAAACATTATTTATTCAACTTAAAAATTATTAAATTAAATATTTGATGAAAGTTTTAAGAATAAATTAATACAACCATAGTTCTTGATGGGGAAAACAAAGAATAAAAATATTTAGCTGGCCAGGATTGAACTGAATACATAGCTTATTTCATCCTATTCTTTGGTATTTACATAGGTTTCTAGAATTTCTTATGTTTATCCCATCAACGATGTAGGCAATGATGTCTAGGCTCTTACCAGGTTCAACTTTAATTTTAAACCCTATTTTTCAGGTCCAAAGTGATTAAATCTCCAGTTGTCTGAATTTTGAGCACTTGAAATTACAAGAAATCTTTTGTTTTCCTAGATAATAGCACTATTTTCCTACAATAAGATTTAAACTGTTTCCAGTACATTACTACGTTACATAAAACCATCAAACCCATGGCATAAACATTGAGAATTTAAATGACCAATTGCTTATGGTGGGTGTTAACTATAATTTTAGAAAGAAGAAATTTATTTCCTAATTAGTTCATTTTACTGGCCTGAGTCTGCACTGGAAAAAAAAAAAAAGAAAATTATCCAGTCTAGTTTCCTAATATTTCCCATATGTCATACCTATTAAGAATAGGGACACCATCAGTTCTCAACAGGGGTGCTGTTGGCATCATGATGCCAGAGTTCTTCATTAAGCCAGAATGTCTACTATGGATTGAAGATTATTTGGCATATTTGGCCTTGTACTCACTAAATGCCCCCGGGCTGTCCCCAGTCATTTTGACAATCAAAAACCTCCTCCACACATTTCCAAATGTCCTCTAGGGAGCAAACCACCTCCAGCTGAAAACCTAAACCTCAGAGGAAGAACTAATTTTTTTTTAATGCGTCTGTTTATTATCCATTTTCAGATAATGATTTCTAGGTTATTCACAAGTTATAGCCAATGTTTTCTATAGTTTAATTTCTTTTCAAAAGTATCAGGCTAATGCTTTCTTTTTATTCCACCACGAGCTTAATATAAGTTCTAAAGCTCAAATATATTTTATTTTATTATAAAACTCAAATATATTTTAACTTCTCAGTCTGGGCAAATGAGGTGGTTACCAAGTGGTAGACTATATTGGTGCATGTACACACACACACACACACACACCACAACAGCTTTGTGACTTGGTTACATAATTTTCTGCAGGAAAAGGATACATAGCAAATTTTTGAGAAACTAGTCTTCACACATAATAACATCAAACTGCTTAATCAGTACTTTCAGACTTTCTCTTTCAGTAAATCCAGATTTGTTCACTAACACAAAACAAATCCTCCACAACTTCTCTAGTCTTTAATACCAGTCTTAAAGATGAACAATATTAATAAGTAGAAATAGAATGAACAAATAAAAATATTAATGTTAGATTTGACAACAAGATTGGACTTTAGTTAGTAATGACAAGCTACTAGGAGGAGTTTTGCCTTTCCAAGTGCATAAATAAAATCTCCACTCACCTCACATAGACCTTTTTGGTGTAGCCATCTCATACTACTATATGTTGATGTACTATAAAACAGTCTATAACACTTGGTTACTGACTTGACTTGACTTAAATCTAGAAACCTTTTTTTCTTTTTTTTTAACCAGACATTCCAAGAAACACAAACCTCACAGGCATGCCCACCAATACAGGAAAGAGAATAATAAAAAAAGTGGAAAACTTACCATTTCCCTATGACTTGGAAATACTTCAGGAAAGACAGGACATATTTCAGCTCCACAGCCAAGCCCCCCTTATGCGCTCCCATCGGGAATCTCAATACATCCTGAAATGTTTAGGTATGATGTACTTGTCTTCAAAAACATTCCAGTTTCTAAGACTCAGCTTCAAAATAAAATTTGATAAGGGGCCCCTGGGTGGCTTAGTCAGTTCAGTTAAGCATCTAACTCTTGATTTCAGCTCTGGTCACAATCCCAAGGTCATGAGATGGAGCCCTGGGTACAAAATCTGCTTAGGATTCTCTGTCTCCCTCTGCTTCTCCACCCTCCACCCTGCACCTCCCCCTTGCACATGCTCTGTCTCTATAAATAAATAAGTAAATAAATAAATCTTAACAAATGCTAAATTGAAGATAAAACTAAGAGAGACTCAAACATATTTTAGCAAGAAATCTCTATAAGCCCTAAACCTGAGTAAAACATCTACATGTTTAAGTGACATGGGAAACAAAGGCAAAAGAAATGTAGCTTGAATTAAACTCTCCTTACAGCGTGCAGGCCACAGAGAGATCCCCGAAACACGCAGAGTGTTACCCTCTTCAAGGAATTCGTGGCTGCCCTAGTGCCTTCATGTTTAAAAGTAGCCTCATCTTGGCAGCAGCTGGCCCCTCAAGGTCCTGAAAGCATTGCTTCCAGATTCCTTGGAGACTTGCACTATCTCTCACCCCCACTGGTTAAAAAGTATACAATCTGTCACTCCTCACAGTCCCAGTATGACTTTCTGTCCACAGGTCCTGTCCCACGAGTAGGGAAGGGGTTAAAGTGTAGGCAGGAAAGAGAGGAGGCCCCTGACTCCCCTGACAAGGCTCAGGCAGGAGGCTATGTGACCAGGCTCACAAAAATCCCAGATATGGAGAAATGCAGAGGCGGACAAAACCAGAGATAAGGGAACATAACGAGATGACTTCGTTATGTCTTAAATGTCAGAGATGAGATATCTCTATGACAGTTACAGCTGGACCACTGAATATCACCAAACTTCAAAGAAAAAGTAAACATGGTACTAGAGTGGTAGAGATGTCAAGAAGATTTAAGTTCCCTAGTCAGTTCTCAATAAAAGACTGCACTAAAGCCCTCAGTGGCAACCCATTCCCGACCCCTCTCACCCTAGGAAGCTTTTTGCTTTCCTTTCTGTTCTCACCTTCACTTAATAATTTGTATTTCACTTCACCCTTTTGTGTCTGTGAGATCCATTCTTTGACTGTGTGAGACAAGATCCCTGCAATCCTGTAACAGAACTTTCTTAAAACTTTATTTTAATGTGATCAAGTTGTATTTATTTGAGAAGCAGAAACAGAACTAGGAAGGAGGGATGAGAACAAGCCAGGAGTCCCTCTTGACAGGCCAGACGGAGCCCAGGCTTTGTCTGTGTATGTGATCTGGGCCACCCAGCAGCCCCCACCAGCCTTCTCCTAGGAGGACAGGATGTGAGGAAAACCTGGACAGAGATGAATGCTCCATGGGGGGGCGGGGGGGGTTGGAATGAATTGGCCCCGGGTCCCTCTGGACCAGATGAACAAGCCAGAGACCCCACAGCACTGTTGGTGATGTAGATGGAGGCACCACTCTGTTGTTCTGTATCTTCTTTCTACCATTTTTACTTCTGTTTTAAACAAATATAAATTAAACATGAAATAACTTTTTATTTAAATTTTTAACAATCATGAATTCAGGAAAAGGACATTGGAGTTGCATCTAAATTTTTACAATCTATCTTACAATTAATATTTTTCAAATGGTAAAAACAGTCGTTTAAGAACTGTTTGATCCTCAGGGTGCCTGGGTGGCTCAGTTGATTAAGGGTCCGACTCTTGTTCTCAGTTTAGGTCTTGAGTTCAAGCCCTGACCAGCGTGAAGCCTACTTAAAGAAAGGAAAGAATTGTTTAATGATCACTTACCAGTCCAAAAATTATTAACATCTATCTTTTCATTTTTTAATTAAAATTTTAACTTTAGGGACGCCTGGGTGGCTCAGTGGTTGAGTGTCTGCCTTTGGTTCAGGTGGTGATCCTGGGGTCTTGGGATCGAGTCCTGCATTGGTCTCCCCACAGGGAGCCTGCTTCTCCCTCTGCCTATGTCTCTGCCTCTCTCTGTGTCTCTTATGAATAAATAAATAAAATCTTTTAAAAAATAAAATAAAAAAAATTTAGCTTTAATTTCCAGTATAGTTAACATACAGTGTTATATTAGTTTCATGATCTTTTATTTAATTTTTAATGAGATTTTAAAAAATAATAATATCACTGCAACACAAGGGGTGATTTTTCCTGCTTTCAAAAATACTTTTCAAATTCTGTTTTTGACTGTGAGAATACAGAAATTCAATTGAATAAAATATGCCAATTGCTGTAACAAGCAAGTCATGTTCTTTGGGGGCAAGAAAACAACCGGGGAGGGGGAAGTATTCTCGATATACGATGAGTAAGAAAATTCTGCTCCTTTCTTCCTTTCCTCCCTGCTTCCTTCCTTTTCTTTTTTCCTTTCTTTCTTCCTTTTTAAAAATTTCTTCTTTTGTCATTCCTTCCTTTCAGAGTCCCTTTTCCTAAAGCATATTTCGCCAAACTGGAATTGAGGAACTAGGGTGGACAGGGAGGAGGAGGAAAATGAAGACAGGAAATAAAGAGGGCTAAGTTCACAGCAAACAGAGAATTTGCAGTCTATGGTCCCATTCCAAGGTGGGAAGCTGCTTGACATAAGTTAAAATGGAGCAAGAGCTCAGGTTTGTACTATGGGGTGAAAATCCGGAAGGACTTCACCACCAGAAACCAATTTGCCTTCCCTTAGGAAGGGCCTCTGTCCTATTACTATTTCACTCTCCTGGAGGATTTCTGAGCACACAGAGCAAACAGGAAGTTTGAATTTCCTGGGATGATATAAAAGACCATTTTCAAGACTATGCATTTTGGTGAATAGACCCTTATACCTCATTTGCCAATTTGGGGATGAAATTCAATCTTTCTTTATGTTTCATTCTTAATTATCACCAAAAAATTGGAAGACATTCTTTGATTTAGGACAATTGATATTATCAGAAATTTTACTTGTGTATTGTGCTCCATTTGGTCATGACTGAACCTTATATGTCACTGCTGTTTGGATTCACTCTGAAAACAGGAACTACAATATTGTGAAAAGACTTTAACTAGGTCATATGTTTGGACATCCAGTAGAAGGTTTAAATGTAAAACAAATTAGTCATGCCCACCGTCTGGAAAGCATTTATTCAAATGGAAGTACATTCCTCTTATGTCCTTGATTCTTTATTCATGGATCAGGAAGTAAAATAACAAGTTTTATCTTTCAAATCATCTTAGCTAAAGTGTTTTCATCTTGGCCGCAATCTGAGGAAGAAAGTTATTGCAATAAGAAATGTTGGAGTATATAAGTCAGTGTGGTTCTTATTTTTATAATTGGGATTGAATTGAAGCATGGAGTCATTAATGAAGGAGTAAAGTGACCTGGATGGAAAATTAGCAGTGGAGCAGAAAGCTATTTCATGGAGTTATTTCCCTCACATTGACCATAGAAGTACCGATCGTTCTTGCAGTGACCAATAGAACAAATGACCATGTACTGGTTGGTAACTTATGGGCCAATAGTCCCACTGTTTCATTTAAGAAGGATGAATCAAAACTTTAAGTATGTTGACTACAAAACATTTGCTGTTTTAAGATGATCTTTTTTTTACAAGTCTAAATACAAATTTTAGGCAATATATCTGAACAATATTTATTTATTTTAAGGTCATACAAATTCCTGCAAGTTCACATTCCCCCAAGGTTTACCTTTGGTGCTGTCTTGTCTTATTTCTCATCACTGTCATCCTCCCAATTTTACCTATGGCTCCCCTCCTCCTGGATCTCTTAGCTGTTTCTCTCTAAATATTGTCTGGGGATCCAGATCTTGTGGATAGTTCCTCAGTGTATAGTATCCTTATTTTTACAACCTACAAAGATCTGAACTTCTAATAAATCTTTCTTAATTTCCTCCTCTATCAAAATCTCACCTCTCTTTATGTCTTTGGATTCAAGCTACCTAACCTTTTTTTTTTTCCAAGCTACCTATCTTAATCAAAGCTGTTACAGTGCTCATTAGGGGTCTGTATGTCCCATTTCCAGGTTATATTCCTATGTTTAGCAAAGGTCATCTGGAGCCATAACACATAAACTCAAATACTGATGGGATTGCCCTCCCTCAATATCATGGCACAAATGCGTGCCATTGCTCCCAACAAGGACCGAAAGAGGCAATATAGATGGTTCTGTTATTCATCCTCATCACTGGAAAACAGCATGAAACACCTGTGTTTTCTAATGTATGCTTCTGAGGTTATGGGGTAGGGGTTCAGCAAAAACATTCATAGTAATGACAGGCAGACTATTCATTTCCTTCTCATAACATAAACCAGAATCAAGTCATTGGAAGCCAATTTTGAATCTGAGGCAGATAATGTTTCCTGTATCCTGCTATTATTTTTCTCCCCAGCATGTGCTCAATGAAGATAAGTCCTGTGAATAATTATCTGACTGCAGAAAACCATTAGGCCAGGTTCCAATGAGGTACCACAGCTGTGCTAGGGACCAGATAACAGAGAAAAGCACTCAGGGCTTTTTTCATCATGTATCTCCACCATGACTAGTACAGTGGAGAGAAGACAGGACCCAGAGTGAGGTGGTCCCAAATTTTCAGGGAAGGTCATGAGAAACCAAAGGTATGGGAGCCAGTAAGTAAAGTCATCTAAGAAAAGAACCAAGAGAACTGTTCTAGGCTATGTATCTCCTAAAACCTGGAGATTGAGACGATTCTTTTAGTCTTTCCTCATGTGGAGGGAATGCAACCAAGATGTTACGGTTAACTTTAGCCTCTAAGCCAAAGTGCAAGAGAAGCTTGATGATTCCTAAACTTATACTCTGAAGTTCTTTTTTTCTGGAAGTGATTGCAGTAGGTTAAACAAAACCAACTCCTTAGAACATGAGTAATTCTCTCCTAGAAAGGGCTGGGAGTTGGCTGATGTGCTGCTACCTATATTGCTCCTCTGACCAAACTGCAATGTTTTGTTTATTTAATTAATGGCTTTCTTCTCATTAGGCTTGCTGCCACAACCAAATGGAAGTTTCTCAGCCTGCCAAAGGGATGAGTCTGGACTGTTTGCCTATGCCTTGAGGCTAGCTTTTTGCTTTCTCTCTAATTTTTTAAAAGCTGTCTTAAAGACAGACTTTAAGCTACATTAGAACCAGAGGAAAATATCAGCAAATACCACTGAAAAGAAGAAGTGAATAGCCTCAGGGGTTTGTGTCCCAAAGGTCAGATTTAATACAATATCAGTTCTGTTTGGGAGTCAGAATATTTTTGAAAAGTCTAGGTGTTTTCTTCATAATTAGGTCAAAAGAGGTGAGCCTGTTCAGTGGGGGCCTATTTTTAAAATAACTAAAGACTTCCTATTCAACTCAAAATATAGGTGGAGTCAAGGTATAATATAATATAATATAATATAATATAATATAATATAATATAATATAATATAATATAATCAATACAGAAAGAGTAAAAGTGAAAGATCCATTCTTTCCCTTAGATGATTGGCTTTTCTTTCTTTCTTTCTTTTCTTTCTTTC